TTTTTTTTTTAACTATATAATTTTTTGTGTTGTATTTGTTGCTGCCTCTTGGCCAGGTCTCCCTTGAAGAAGAGGTTTTTAATCTCAATGGGTTTTTTATCCTAATAAAATAAAGGTTACATTAAAAAACAAAATTAGATCAACTACTGCGTGTAGCAGGCCTAAGAGTCAAGAGTCTAATAATTTTAATAAATACAAAATGTAAAGGCGCAGATATAAAATAAAACACTATAAGTTCTGATTTGGGATTGCAATAGTTTCTCAAATGAAAACCTTAAGGCAGCTAGCGATGTGTGTTTTAGATAACTCAGCTGACACACTGACCTCCTGTAGTCAGATTTGCCTGTCTAGAACCTTTCAGTTGAGGTCACTGTTGTTGTTAGCCCAGTTCTGTAAATAATGTCATTATCAGTGTTATATGACAGTTTCCATGTTGGTAGATTTGACCTCCGTCTATTTCAGGGTGGTCTGCTGTAATAAGATTAACTTCCCCAAGAGCTGCAGCTTAGCACAAATTCTCACAGTTGATATCCTGGCATGCGTTGTACGCTTTTACCTTATTCACCCCCGGCTGTCAATATCAGAATGAAATAAAATACACTTTTCTGCTTTATTCTCACTGAAAATCACACAAACTACCAAAGATAAACTCACACTTTTTGGAGGAGTTGTTTAATAGTTATAACTTGAATTCACTTCATATCTAAACAGAGATACAAAAAAAAAAAAAAAAAAAAGCTTTATTTATCTTTGATTGTTCAAATGCTTGATTTAACAACAGGCCTCTGATTTTGGCTGCTCTTATAAAAAATTTTAAACAAACAAGAATTTATGAAAAATTAGCAGAATAAAATAAGCATTACTTGCATAGCATTTGTATCCTTGCATGCCAGACTTTTAAACAAAGACCTGACAAGATTTGTTAGCACTCAGAGAATGTGATGAAGAAGACTCTCAGCTACTACCAAGCCAAATTTTAGCTCAATGTCTGCAAAACTAACTGAGTTATACCCATGTGTGTGTGTTTTCTATGGTTGAATAGATGTGACAGCCATCTTAAATGGAGTTGACACCAAAAGTCAAGCAACCATAGATATACATTTATTTTTATGAGTTTTGTTCAAATACAGTATTTCATGATAAAGTTGCTAACAGTCAGACAAACACACATGCACAGACAGGCAATTACATATGCCCAACTTTAATGGCGGCAGGTGATCATTTCATGTTATACATGGCAGTCTAAGGTAAATATTGGGTCTTTTAGATGTTTAGCAGCCATTTTTTTTTTTTTACTGAGCAGGTTTGAGGTGTTGCAGGTTGGTGCAGGAGGTCAGCAGAGGTCAGCTTGGTGGTGCGGAGACCTGCATCACTACAATCTCAAACCCAAGACCCAGAAAAAAACTTTAAGAAACTACACAGAATTATAATTTTCAGGTCAGTATTTCTTTAAAAACAGCCTAGTCAACTTTATACAATTATAGTTTACTTTTAATACAGCTTGTCCCTGTATACCAGGAGAAAATCATTTATATGCAAGGAAACCTTTTTTAAAAAATATATATATATTTCAATAGTGAACTTATTATTGTAATATATTAAAAACATGCTAAACTAAACACTCAATAACACTTGGGGGGAAAAAAAAGAAAGAAAGTCTGTCTGGCGTTCGCCTTTTCTCACTAACAATAAGACGTTAACATCGTTAAAATTTACCTTTCACCTAATTGAAGATAACAAAGACTTCAGCTGGAGATGAGATTGTAAGATGATTAAATAATTATTGTTTTAAAGCGCACTGGGTAGGAGATGTGTTTAATGGTGGTTTCTGTCCTGACGAGTTATTTGACACAAGCTTAATCTGCTTCTCAGGCTAATTTAGGCCTCAGGAAAATACCTAAAGCTATCCTGTAAACCTGGTCCACATCCGCTGATGTCACACACGTCTTACAAGCTTACTCCAACCCACACAAAGTAATCTGATGCTAGTACAAAAAACCCTCAGACACTATTAACAATTAGGTTACATAAAAAACAATTATCTATTTACGTCTTGACACTAACATGACGTAAACAGGAAGAAGTGTAAATCATCTTGACCAAGGCCAAACGAAATGCTTTCATTATTTATTAAAAGTTCAACGAGAAGCATGTGCAAAACTCAGGATATTTCTCTAAATTAAAAATTCCTGGAAATATCAACCTGTGCATCTTGTGTTTAAAGTTTTCCAGAGTTGTCTTCAGTTTTCACAGATAATAATTGTCCGTTAGGAACAGGAATCCTATCAGGAAACTCCAAAAAGCTAAGGACCAAACAGCATCATTAGATGCATATTCAAGCTTTAAATAAATAAATACTATTATTTCTTATTGCACCATTCTTCTAGCTTTATCTAAATATTTTCTGAGATTATATTTGTGGCTCAGCGAGGAAAATGATTTAGAACTCTACTGTAAAGATTACTTATCACACCATTACTAATCCCTGCTGGACTTATAATATATGGGATGCATTTTCAAACAATAATTATTCCCAGTCTGGCAAATATCTGACTGTTATCACACTTCCAATTATATTACATGTTGAAGGCTTTTATTATGGGATTTAATATCATTGATAAGAGTTTTGTATTCTTTAAACAACACATGCATCAATTC